GTTAATAATAACATTAATTGTTGATAATTAATCGTAATGGGTATTCGTAGCCCGACTGGTAAATCTTTTTTTCTTTTTTTTTTCTTTCTTTCTTTCTTTCTTTCTTTCTTTCTTTTTTTCTTTCTTTCTCGATAAGAGAGTTTTTTCGAGTATTCGAGATGGGCGATTTGCATTATTGTTCCTCACATTTGTACGATTGACAAACTCGGTGATCGAAAATTGAGACAAGATATACAATAAGAATCCACGGAGGGAAGGCAAAAAAATGAAAAGAATCCGTTCTGTGAACGGATACTTTATAGTTTTTCTCTTTCCTTTCCTCCTCCCCTTCCCCTCCCCCTCCCTTGAACGAATCGAGCGCCGATTAAAGAAAAAAGAAGAACATCGTGAAAATCGATCGATAGTTATCCCTCGACACAACAAACACGCAAACTCGTCCCCTTGCTTAAAAGGGGCGCGAACTACTTACGTTGTACAACATTGTTCAGAGTATTCTTATCCAAACGTTCTTATCCTCCCGACAATCCTCTGTTTCTCGATAAGTTTCTTCTCATCGGTTCGATCGGGAGGAGGAAAAAAAAAAAAAAAATTTTCGAGAGGAAAAATTTCACCGATTCGTTCGATTCGTTCACACGCATTCGCACCCCCAACAGACAAACAAACAAACAAACAAACAAACGGAAGGTACAAAGAAGAAGAAAAAAAAAAAAAAAAAAAAAAAAAATTGGGTGAGATTGGGTACAACGAGTATATCCTAGGTTAGTTCGTAGGCAGGTCGATGCGAGCATCCATAAATACTGATATCAAAAATACTGGACCACGTTTAAGATTAAGAACGGCCTCACTTAAACGGGTCCTTTTGCTTTCTCTTCTCATTCTTTGTATATATGTATGTATGTATGTATGTATGTATATATATATATATTTCTCTCTCTCTCTCTTTCTCTCTTTCTTTCTCTCTCTCTCTCTTTCTCTCTCTCTTTCATTCTTTCGTCTCTACTGTGCGCATGTATGTTGAAAGATGGAAAAAAAAAAAAAAACGTTGCTACTTAATTAAAGGCTAGGAATACGAATATATAATATATAATTGTATAATAGAAACGACAAACGAGTCGATCTCGGAAAGACTAAGGAATGTTCAAGTTATAATAATAAGTCGCGTTTATATCATCGAACGACAAGTGTTCAAAAATCTTTCGACGATACACCCATTTCATCCTTCAAATTAAATTCGAGAATAATAATAGTAGTAGTAGTAATAATAATAATAATAATAATAATTTACATTCAAGTACTCGCGCAGAGAGATCGGCCCTTTTGCTTGAGCAAAGACTTATACGATCCTTCCTCTATTAGATTAAGACGTAGGAGAGCAAAAATGTTTCTTCGCCATTGGTAAATTCGTCTATATATATATATATAAAAAAAAAAAAGAAAAAAGAAAAAACGAAAGAAAATACGATGATCCCTAAAAATTATAAACGTCGATTTTTATATAATATATATCGTATAACGATTATAACATCGTTAATTATATATATATATATGTATATGTATGTGTGTGTGTATCGTTATTAAGTATTTCGCTGACATGACGTGAACGTTGATCGACGATTCACAAAGATTCGATCTGGGATATATTTCAAAAAAATATATACGATACGGCGTGTTATAACTCTGGGATTCATTGTTTCGTTTTTTTTTTTTTTTTTTTTTTTTTTTTTTTTTTTTTNNNNTTTGCTTCTAGCTTTTCTCTTTTTTTTCCTCGTTTTTTTAAACGTGTTCTTAACGTGCGATTAAGATATTTTATAATTTAACGAAAATTGATTTGTCTTAATATTATATAACATAACGATAGGCAAAGTTGAAAGATATCTTGTTATTATCATCTATCGTAAATCTAAGTGTTCTCAGGTAACCGATTTTTCTGCATAATAAATGATCATGGCAAATGCACGATCGTCACGCGACTATACTTAATTATTACAAATATACATATATATAGTGCGCGCGTAAGTGTATATTATTATATACGTGCAAATATATACTATATATATATATATATTTATTTATTTATTTATTTATTTATTTTTTTTTTTCCTGTTTTGTCGAAAGAAGGCACTATCGTATCGCTTATACCTATAATTACGCTCGGAATGATTTATGATTTCGTAACTGTTACTGTCAGTTCCATTTACCGTTTAATGTACCTTGTAACGTTTTTCTTTTAAAATCAATCTTACCATCTAAAAAGAGAAATATCTAAGATATGTATAAAAGTACTAGAAAATATCTATATATATATATATATATATATATATATATAAAATATCCTATGAATAAGAAAAA